AAAATATAACTAATAATTAAAGAAATACAAATTTAAATAACAGAAATAAATATATATACATATGGTTATATATGTTCATAATTTATACGATTATATTCTATATATATTATTACATACAGATAAAATCTGTATACATAAAATCATTTTTGAAAACACTGAGAAAACTTCTGAGCCCAAAGTTGACAAAATATGGAGAAAGACATACTGTCAAAATTTGGTAGTAGCAGTGTAGTGGGCACGTCCTTTTAGGGAAACACTTTGCTAGTATCTTTGAAAGTTAAAAAAAAATGTATATACAAAAATCTTAATTTACATATTTCATATTAAGCATAACTGTATACATCTATATCAATCTAAATATATATATGTATATATATATATACATATATATATCTCCTTTGAGTGATTTCACTGCTCAAAATTCATCCTACAGAATTATTAGCACAAGTGTACAAAGATACCTATACATGGATATTTACTGCAACAATGTAATAGAAAAAACTGGAAATAATCCAAAAGGCTACCAAGAGTTGAACAAAGGTAACCGAACATTATTGTGCAAAATGTGGTAGATGTATATACACTGACATGGACAATTGTTTAAAAGAAATAATAAATTGTAAATTTAAAAAAAAATTTAAAGGAAGGGAATAAACCAGTTTAGGACTATTTAATCTGGGGTCTTCCATATACATATGGTTCAAGAGAACCAAAACTGCATGCAAAATTGTCAATGTATGTAAGTGCATTTTCTAAGGAAAGTGTCTGTAGCTTTTATCAAATTCTTGAAGGAATATGTAGTCTCCTGGAAAGGGTCACTAAACAATCAGGAAAAAGCATCCCAGCTCTGAGTATCTAAGAAATGTAATTAGGTTATACTCAAGTGAGGAAGACCTTGGGGAGGAAAGAAATGCTCTCAATTAAACTTTTAAGAACATATTAAATGCCTCTACCACAAAAAACAATATTTTATTTCAAAACTCCTAAATCTAAGGGTGTGAAGGAAGTTATTCGTCAGATGAGCTTATATTCAGTAATTACAAACCTCAACCAAAAATTAAAGATCAAAAGCAGTCTTCAAAATGCGTGACTAGTTCATGCTTAAATTACAGTTAAAGTAAGATCATACAGAAGCAGGGCGCCTGGGTGGCTCAGTCGTTAAGCATCTGCCTTCAGCTCGGGTCATGATCCCAGGGTCCTGGGATCGAGCCCCACATCGGGCTCCCTGCTCAGGGGGAAGCCTGCTTCTCCCTCTCCCACTCCTCCTGCTTGTGTTCCCTCTCTCGCTGTCTCTCTCTCTCTGTTGAAAAATAAATAAAATCTTTAAAAAAAAAAAGATCATACAGAAGCAAAAAGAGGCAAAGATTAAGTGGTAGTCCCATTTGACACAGTCAGGTTGATAATGATGGACTAGTTACTCACACATACAAAGATTCAGGAGTTATGCAGCCTTAGCTAAACTTTATTTTTTAAAGATAAGTCGATTAAAATAAGACAAAAATAACTTAAGTCTTATACATAGTTTTGTGAAATTTCTTTGAGCAGAAAAGATAAATCTTTTCCTGGAGGCAGGTTAGGAAGAGGAATCCAATACCTTTAGAACTAATACAATAAATTAACATTTTAAACATTATAGCCACTAGAATCAATGGGACTTAATGAAGACTGAAATAAATGAGTAGAAAGTAGCAGGAATACTCTCTATCCTAAAATGAAAATATATCTTAGGGGCACCTGGGTGGCTCAGTCATTAAGCGTCTGCCTTCGGATCGGGTCCTGATCCCAGGGTCCTGGGATCGAGCCCCACATCAGGCTCCCTGCTCAACAGGAAGCCTGCTTCTCCCTCTCCCACTCCCCCTGTTTGTGTTCCCTCTCTCACTGTGTCTCTGTCAAATAAATAAATAAAATCTTTTAAAAAAAAGAAAATATATCTTAGAACAGTGGTTCTCAACCAGGAGTAATTTTGCTCCCCTAAGGGACATTTGGCAACACCTGAAAACATTTTTGATTGTCAGAATTGGACGGGTGCTCCTGGTATATTGTGGGTAGAAGCTATGGATGTAGCTCAACATCTCCCAGACTCACCTACCCACTCAAAATGTCAACAATGCAAAGAAGTGGGCTGGAGGAACCACTGAATCCATGCTTTGAGATAATCAACTTAACAACAGAAATCCTAAAGCAAGGTTTACTTACTTGTTTTGAAAGACTGACACTTTATCAAATAGCATGGATCTTATTAAAATGATGTAATTTTTGAAGTGTTATTTAAAAGAAAGTTATTAATTGAATTTCCAATTTATCTAAACCTTTTAAATTATGCAAAAGCCATAGGCAAGGAAAAAAAAAGACAATGAATTAATGCCAAATGAAAAAAGTTTTATACACACACACACACATCCTATCATGCTCACAAACAATACTGAGCAAAGGAAACCAGACTTTTTACAAAAAGCTACATTTTGCATGATTCCATTTATATGGTTCAAGAATGGGCAAAAACTGATCTCTTGTTAGAAATCAGAATAGTGGTTCCTCTGGAGAGAAAGAAAAGGTAGAGATGGGAGAGAACATAAGGGGGACTTCTGGAATGCTAATAATTTTGTATTTCTTATTCTGGGTAATGGTTATGTAACCGTGTTCACTTTGTGACAATTTGTCAAGCTGTGTACTAAGTAATCAGTGCAGTTTATACAGTTAACGCTTTCACAAAAATGTTTTTCACAAAAATGTTTATTTTGTAAATGTTATGTATTCACACCCTAAAAACCTGAGCACTTTGACCCACAAAGCTAAATGAACATCAATTGCAAAAGTAAAAGTATTTTTGCCACATAGGCTACCTTCCAAGAATTCAAGAAGGATGACACCCCCAGAAAGCTGTAAATACCATACTCAGAGCTCATACAGCATTCAGTTGAACACTTAAGCCACCATATATCCCTCGGCACAAATCCAAAAATTTGACAAAGGCTTACAAATGCAGTTAAATTTATTCCATGAACAGTTTGAATTATTTCCCCCAATTTTAAACTGTGGACTGTTATTAGAGAATGCATTCTATGAAACAAATAATGCTTTCTCTTTCTTAATCCCACATTTTCCCAAAGCTCCCCCAAACTAAATCCCTCTTGGCCCTTAATTTCTTAGAATTTCTCCAGGCTGCTTTCAACAGTGCCAACACTTCTCTCAGTATCCATCCTTACAATCCACCTCCCCACAACACATGAAAATTCACATTAATGCTCATTCCAGAGGCTGGTCTCCCCTACCAGACTTCTACTCCCTCCCAGGACCTCATAAATACAATCCAAACCTCACTACCCTCAAACTCCTAATACTCTCCAACAACTGGCTTCCCAACAGCACCACAAAACTAGGGCATATGCTAACCCCGTCTTTAAACCCTCTTCCACCACATAAAAAGCCCTGCTTCTGCACACAATTCAGCTCAGTGGCCCCTGAAGCTATGATCACCGGTGCCGCTCTCTGCTTTAGCACCTCCTCTACTGCATTCAAATCCATCCCATTTCCCACCCACCCCCTGCCCCAAACTCTACTTTCTCCTTTTTTTTTTTTTTAAAGATTTTATTTATTTATTTGAGACAGAGAGAATGAGACACAGAGAGCATGAGAGGGAGGAGGGTCAGAGGGAGAAGCAGACTCCCCGCCGAGCAGGGAGCCCGATGCGGGACTCGATCCCGGGACTCCAGGATCATGACCCGAGCCGAAGGCAGTCGCCCAACCAACTGAGCCACCCAGGCGCCCCAACTCTACTTTCTTCTTGAAGAATCTTTCCTAAGTACTAGAGCAAGGATATAAAGTTGAAGGAAGGATACAGGAATGTGCTCCACTCTGAGTGAAGGTAGTTGCCCCAGTGTCAAGCACACAACCATGTGCATGGGCTACAGGGTCAGAGGGCAGGAGTGTGAAACCCAGCCACTGCCCTTCCTAACTGCAAGGCTTTGGGCGAGTGATTTCACATCTTTAAGCCTCAGTTTGCTGAACTACAAAATGGGAAATCATAAAAATAGCGATCTCATAGAGTCGCCAGGATGAAATGAACTACCGGCCGTTGAGCACTTTGCACAAATCCTAGGTGGTAAACTCTCAGTAACTGACAGTTTTTCCTAGGTCCTCGTCTTGGAAGGAGGAATATAAAAGAGGGTGAAAAGTACTTTCTAAGGGCAAGGGAGTGGTGGAGGGAAGAAGTACTGTACACACACATTGTGTCAGATCCCCAAACAGCGTTCTCTCTTTATTATCCCCTTACAATGTGGACCCAAGAAGTCCTCAAAGCCCCTGCTAAAGGATGGGGGAAGACACAAATAGATACATCAAATCCTCCTTCCAGGAGAGTCATTTGAGGGAATGCAGTAGGAAAGTGCCCCCTAAATTGCTAAAATGAGATCCTTGGGGGTCTGAGAATTAGGAAGGAAACCCCAAAGTCCCAAAGGATTTCTCTTGGGAAGCTGAGGGGAGTACTTCATAACAAGGAGATTAAAAGTAAACGCTAGAAACCATAAAGACTCCTCAACTTCTCCCCTAGGAAAGAATACTAACTGGTTTCTCCGCAAATGGCTTGAGAAAGGAAAAGCGCTTTCCCCGCCTCTCATGGGACACCCGGGCTTCCCCGGGTCCCTTCCCCGGAGGGATAAGGAGGAGGGTCCGCGCAGGGGAATCCCCAGCCCCCCCAACGTCGGAGAGGCAGGCTCAGGCCGGGGCCCCCAGGGAGTTCCACTGGGTCTCTTCCAGTCTCTTTGCAGCCGGTCTCCAGTAACGGGATCTCTCCGGGGACTCGGGGATCTCCCAGAGCTTCGGCCATCGCTGGCTGCCTCCCCTCACAATCCTCAAATCCTCGGTCCCGCGAGTTCTCCCCGGGCACTTCTCCGGGTCTCCTGGCTGGCACAGGGTCCGCCCGCCGCCCACGGGCTCTCCTCCCCGGCCTCCTCCCGCCCCCCCCCCGCCCCCCGCCGAGCGCCGCGAGCCCGCGGAGTTACCTGCTGAGAGGGCAGCTCCACATGCAGGGCCCGCGCTGCAGAACCGGGTGGCAGCGAGGCCGCCGGGCCCGGGGGCGGCGGGGAGACCGGGCCCCCGACCGACGCTGAGGCGCTCATCTTGACCCAGGGGCCGCCAAGCGGCGGGGCCCGCGTTCCTCCGGCATCCGCCACCACCGCCTAGCCTCGACCCGCCGAGCCCCTGCAGCCCAGAAACCCGCCACCCGAGAGGCAGAACTGCTCTACCCAACCTCCAGCCGCCACCGCCGCTGGCTAGGGAAGAGCCATATTACCGCAGTGCAACCCCCACCACCCCGCCGAGACCTGGCTTGCTCATTGGTTTGGCTGCCACGGGGGCGGGACCCAACGACAGATAAGGGACGTGCTATTGGGTAGAAGGTCTGTCCATCGCCGGCCGGAATGGGCTCGGGGCGGAGGGACCCGGGGATGGCCTAAATCGCGTCTGTCAAACCGGGGTGAAACCTGGGGCGTTACTTCTTTTTTTCCCAGTCTAATTGGTTCTTTCAGTACCGTGGGGCGGGGTCTCCTGGCGGATCCGCAAAGGCCATTGCTCTAGGTCGGTGTCAGTTGTCAGTAAGGGGAAAGAGGGGCGGGGTCTGATTAGGTAGAGAGCGAGCCTGGGCTCTGTTGTCACGTGCAGGAGGCAGGAGAGTCACCTGATTAGTGAGAGTCAATCTTCCGAGCCACTTCCGCCCGAACCTAGTTGCCATGGTAACCGGCCTCCCTCGGAGGGCGGGGACCCGTTTGGCGCCAGCTGGGTCGTGAGTCTTGATCTGCTGTTGCAAGCTCCCTGAGCAGCCTTTTCCTGAGGGGCTCCCAGGAACGTGCGGGGATTGAAAAGGAGTATTTCATGGTTCGACAGAAGGCCACCACTCAGGATGCACGGAGACTAGAAACCTGACGGGCAGTCCCACCTGCTCTTCCGTGACCAACTCCAACCCACAAGTCCACGACCCTCTTCGCACTCCCCTAACTAGTACGCTGAGCTATAAGGTGTGCCAGGCACCCAGGACGCTGTTTCACCTCTCGGAGTGTGTTGCTTATGCTGTCTTTAGAAAGCCTTTGCTACTTTTCTCCTCCTAGTGCTTACTTTTCCATCAAATCTCATCCGGGGGTGGGGTCCCTTCTTCCCAAAGGCTTCCTGATCTACTCTGGGAGCCTGAGTTAGGAACCTTGCCTCTACCATATTTCTGATTATTCTACTGCATTGTCTTTTAATAAGTGTGTAACACACACACACACACACGTTGAATTCCTCAAGCAAAAGGACCTTGTCATTCATCTCTGAATTTCCAGGACCTGCTGGATAATCAGTACTTGTTTGTTTTTTAAGTGAAGACCCAACTCAAATGCCACCTCTTCCATGAAGACTTCCTTGATCATAATGATAGCATACATAGCAATTGCTTCTATAATAAATAGCATTGACTCATTCTGCAGGATATCAATCTGCCTTCCCCCCACCCACCCCCACCCCCAGACTGTGAAGTTATCCACCACCTGGACTAATATAGCTGAAAGAACACAGTGTTTTAGAATCAGACACAACAGAAATCAGGCAGTTTGGGAATCTTGGCTCTGCCACTTTCTAGCTATGTGTTCCTGGGCAAACCAGTTCCCATCTTTCCACTTTGGTTTTCCCATCTGTAAAATAATAATAAGGTTGCTGTAGGGATTAAGTAAATCAATATATGTAAAGTGCCAGTGAAGACCTCACATATAATAACTGCACTAAAAATAGTTTAATAAAAGGTAAGCATACTATCTTTCCAGGGTGTTCAGAAGCCTGAAGACACTTTGGATCTGACCCCAGGACTGGCTAACATGGATGTCACACTGTCTCCTATTCTGAGACATCGAGTGGTTCCTCATGGGTGTGTGGTTCCTCATGGGTGTGTGGTCAGGTGTTTGTTGAGAAGGGATTAGTCAAGGAATCCCAAATCTCATGTGGTTCAACTCCTGAAGTGCCAAGATCTGGTGGAATTTCACAGAAAGCACTTTTCTGCTTCCAAGCTGTATTAGTTCCCTGAGGCTGCTGTATCACATTACCGCAAACTAGGTAGCTTACAACAGCAGCAACAGAATTTTATTCTTTCACAGTTCTAGAGGCCAGTAGCCCAAAATGAAGGTGTTGGCAGGGCTTCACTCTCTCAGAAGGCTCTAAGGGAGAATCTTTCCTTGCCTTTCTGGTGGCTCCAGGTGGTCCTTATCCTGGGGCTGCATAATTCCAATCTCTGCCTCCATCTTCTCATCGTCTTTTCTTCTTCCTGTGTATTCTTTTCTTTTCCTTACCAGGACACCTGTCTTTGGATTCAGGGCCCACCCAGATAATCCAGATCTCATTTTGAGATCCTTAATTACAAAGACTCTTTTTCCAAGGAAGATGACATTCACAGGTTCCAGGGATTAGAGTATGGGCTCATTTGAGGGGGAGAGGGACATCATTCAAACCACTACATAGGTTAAGAAAATAGACCTATAAAGACAGAACACTGAATCACTTCATTCCTCTTTGGAGGTCAGCTCTGAATATTAGCCAACTTTATTACTTCGTTCATCCAAAAAATGTTCATTGACACAGAGGTGTCAAGCCCTTTGCTGGGTGCTGGGAAATCAGACTCAGACTCATCCCCAGAGGAGCTGCCCTCTTTATCGTGTAGTCCAATAAGTAAACAAAGACTGATAATCCAGTTGCTCAGCCTGAGGAAAGTTCAGGAGCTGTGGAAGCCAAAGAAGAGAGTCAGATTTCAGTCACAGTAAAGGTGACATTTAAACTGGGTATTGAAGGACCAATAAGAGTTTACTAGGCAGGAAGGGAGAAAAGGATATTCCAGCAGAGAGAGCAGGATCCATTCTTTCTACAAGCTTCTAATGAGATTCAACTCTGTACCAAGATGATTACCAAGCACTGGAGATACACAATTCAAGTAAACAACCCTTCTCAGACTTTTCCACTCACGTGTCACTAACACCAGGATAGCTGGAATGCTCACCCCTAGGGACAGGACAAAGAACTGAAATACCTGCAAAGTATTCAAGGTGATGAATGTAAAATATTTTGCACTGTGCCTTGGGTATAGTAAGTGTTGGATAAATGCTATCTATCATTATCTTTATATGTCCTATTTCATTCTAAAAAATCTTGTATTATCTTAGATCCTTTTCCATAATATGGCTATATTTGTTTCAACGGAAGAATATTTCTAATCACTTTGAATTAAAATACTATAATATTTATACAGGGATATATATCCCCTAGGGAAACTTGTATCCAAGTGTAGGGAACATGGATTCTAAAGTGGCCAAATACAATATACATGCAATGATAGAAGAAAGATCAAGGTCCAGTGGTAACAGAATGACTGACTCTACAGGAGCTGGTGGGCAAAATCAGAGAAGGCTTCACAAAAGTCTTAAAAAACAATTAGGAGATGAACAACAGGAGTCGTTGGTTTGGTTTGGTTCAGGGATGACTGGTGTTTTAACAGCTAACTGGAACCATGTTGGATATTGAAACCAAGCATTGTTTGCAGGGCCAAAAAGCTAAAGCCACTCCAATCCATTTTACCTCCTCTCCTTCCTCCCTCCTCATTCTCTAGATCTCATGGGTATGATGCATTAAATAAGTAAGAGCAAGACAAGCCAGGGTGGTCTTTTGATGTCTCAAATTTAATTAAATTAGATCTAGCCCCTTCCTTTCAACAGAGTCCTCTTTCTTCCATTTACTTACTCACTAAGTAAAACAGCATTCAGACCAGTACCAGGTGCCCAATCAGGGCACGAGGTTTACAGAAATAATGCAGATAGAATCCCTGACTGCAAGGAGGTCATGGATAATTTCAGTACAAAGTGGTCAATGCAGTCATTGGGACGATAATGGGAGCATGGAAGAGGAAGTTGCTAACTGCTGTGTGTTGTACCAGAAGGCTTTCCAGAGAAGAAAGAGTACTCTAGGCAGAAGCATGAGTTTTGCATGAACAAAGGCCCTGAGGCAGAGGACGTGACATTAGTGTCGTGACATTAGCGTAGTTTAAGGTGGCTGAAACAAAGGTTGCATGGGAGGAACAGGCAAAAAGGCCAAAAAGGAAGAGGGGGCCGGGTAAAAAAGAACCTGGCTGCTAGGCGGAAGAACTCGGGCTTCATCTTAGGCAATAGGAAGTCAGTTAGAAAGATCCTCAGGCAGCCCTGGAGATGCAGGTTTCAAGGGGTAGGATTTGAAGAGCAAGACTCTTGCAGAAAGCCAGGTGAGAATTGTAAAACAAGGAGACCATTCCGCAAAGAGCCTGCACCCAACAAAGGTGGGTCCCTGGGCAGCATTTCTCCTTCTCCTTTCTCAACCCTCCAAGGTCACTTTTTTGAAAAAGGCTTCTTAGATGTAGGCTAATGGCTACCTTCTCTGGGCTCCCACTGTGGCTGCCTGACTTCTCTTCATTACCTGTATCCGCGTGCCTAGTCATATGGTTTGTGTTTGTCTCACGCTCTCTACTTTGAACTCTTGCTTTTCATTTCAATCCAAATCCCACAGAGGGCAGGCTGCAGAAGCTTCAACGCACCAGTGAATAAAATCAGTGAATGAGTGGACAAACGCTTGAGTAAGGGAATGTTTAGATGACATGGAGCCTCCATACCTCTCCCACTGGAAACAGCCCCAGAGAGAGGAGGTGAGCTTGCCCAGGGTCACACAAAGTTTGTAGCAAAGCGGAGACAAAGACTTAGGCTTCTTGCCCCCAGGAGCAGCACTCCTTCCTCAATTCCAGTGGTTTTCACACTGTCATGGACTATAAATGTGCCAATGTGGGTACCTGAGTTTATGAATTCACGGGCCAGCCAGGATGACAAGCATTCAACAGAAGCACATCTAACCCATGGGGCTGATTTAGTGGGAGCCCCAGAGAAAGCTTTCCTTGGGAACTGCCTTTTACAGTGAGGTCCAAAGGGTGAGGGGGAGGTAACCGGACAAAGGGGGCTAGTGAGAGCAAGAGGAGAATTCGGGCAGAAAGAAGAGCCTGAAGAAGGAGCATGGAGCATTGAAGGAACTGAAAGAGAAGGCGAGGCGGGAGTAGGCAGAAGAGGCAGCCGGCATGGAGGAGGAGGAGGGGGAGGAGAGCAGTGTTTGAAAGAAACTGATATTTCAAAAATAAAATCAAAGACCTCCTTCAATCTCTTTTACAGTTTTAGGGTTGCTTTCATTTGTCATTTCATAGAGCGGCAGCAGCATTGTCTTTTCAGTGCTTAGAGCTTCTGCAGTTTTAGTCCAGCTCTGATGGCACAGAATGAAGTCG